ACCGCTCCAAACCAGAACTGTTTTTAACTCAGAACAGTGCCATGCTCCAGTTTAGTATGCATCCCTAAAAACTTCTGTATCGGCAGAATGACGGTGAGGGAGGTCCATGTAGCAGCACCTACACAAGTGAAAGGTGCCACTAAAAAGTTTTCATACAACTACAGCTTGAGAAAATGATGCGGGGGCAGAAATACCTTAAGCCAGTATCGCCATCAAACATGTTGGATCATGAAAATACAACCAAAGGGTGTAGTTTCATGGGACATGAGCTTGGACAGCAAAGCAGCTTAGAAGTTCCCACCCTACCTGCTAATTTCAGTGATCCTGTTTTACAGCACAGCTTCACAAAGAGTTTTACTGACACAACAAAAAGATGGCAAAGTATGGTGCAGGGGCAAGAAAGAAGCTGGCTTCACTGCTGAAGCCAAATCTTGTGAAACTACACCCTAAGTATTTGTTGTGGAGAGAACACCCTGCTCAGGAACACTTGCCAAAGGTTTGCCAAACACCTGCTCCAAAACTTCAGAACTCAGACCCAGCAAATATTCCAAAATACAGACTCTGTTAGGAGTTTTATAGAGGTAATGCAGTCACCAAATAATCTGAAGTTGGAAGACCAACCACAAGACTCAAAATAAAATAAAAAAAACAAAACAAAAAACCAAACCACCCTGCATTTTCAGGCTTTTTTCTGCAGTCTGAAGCTTTAGAGGTATATTAAAAAAAAAAAAATTCAAAAAAATCATTTATCCAAAATGAAGGTGAGACAGCTGGCAAGCAGGACAAGAAAACTTTCTGCTAGCACTTTGTGAAGAAGAGGCTGCAGAACAAGTTTCTCTTAAAAAAAAAAAAAAGTTGTAACCGGTTTATCAGGTTAGAGGAATTCACTGGTTCTTCCGCCTCTCCCCCCATCCCATTTGTTTCCAAACGCTCATCTAACCAGCTTGTTTCTTGCTGAATTTGTTGATATGTGAGAAAATAAATTGCACCTGCAGCTCAGCTGGATGATCAACAGGCATCCAAACATGCTTTAGAGAATTGGTAATTTGCTATCACCTGATGAAGTGGCAACCCCTCAGTATTTTCAATTTGTGCACAGTTTCGGAGAGCGGGGGGAAAAAAGGCCCAGCTTTGTCTTTCTATGTTTAAGAATATGAATCGAATCTATCATTGATGTTTTGGATTCAATGTACAATGCCATGAAAGATCAGCAAGACTAGGACAGTCCTTCAAACAATCTTTTAATACTTAAATGTCAATCCATTGATGAAATTCGAATGCTTTTGATAGGTCCAAAAGCAGACCCGGCTCTCATGAGAACCTCTCCCTTTTCATGTATATCGTTCAAAGTAAGATGGTAATTACAGCTAAATACTGCAGACTGCTCTCCAAAATTATTAGCTCTTCTTAGACTTATCCTTTGTCAGGGAGACATGCAAATATTGCCTTGCAAAAGGAAAGTAACATGTCTTAAGGCAAGTCATGCTGATTCAGCCAGGTTTTCTGTATGGGAAGGATTAAGAAATCCACAACACTTTCAACTTAGTATTCGATCTTTAACTTAGAACCCCCATGGCTAGAATCAGGGAAGCGCATGAAGATGTCAGCTTTTTGATGACAGGGTAATGGGGCTGAGAGAAAGACAAAGTTCATTTTGGTTTTGCTCTTTAAAAGCAAGCTTCCATTCCTGCAAGGTTTCAGAGCAACTTGAAAATAATTTTCTCCCTTAAAAGCTTGGAAACTGGGAAACCATAAAGCTCCAGCAGTTCTTTAGGAAAATACAAATAACATGCTAAATAAGCCAGTCCTGTGATTTGCAGATCTGAACAATGAAACCTAGCAAGAATGTCCCAGTAATGCAGAAAGAAACGTAGTATGCTATTCCCTATAGTAAGTAGTGTAGGTAATGCATATTTAGAGGCTTACATCACAGGCTCAAGACAGTTCCAAATAAACACTTGAACAAGAGATCTCCTACTTACTTTGTTAAAAAAAATTCTCACATTTCTCTACTCTGTAGCATTCTGCAACTACAACAACACATCTCAGTCAGCAGCTATAAGTTCACCGTTATTGGTTCAACAACAAACATAAGTTATTAATGCCATTTTGAATTAAATACATCAAGCAACTGCTTCCAAAGGGCACACACTTTATTATTTCAGGTAACTATTTCCCTAATACTTTTACATTACCAGGATCTCCCCTCCCCACCCAAAACATAGCTATCAAAAGATTGCACATCACCTATCAGAAAATATAGCTGGATCCCATAAATGCACTAGCATCTGTGGAATCAAATGCTTGTTACCTTGGACAACTACAGTATTTAAAAACTTGCAGCAAAATGCACAGAACACACACTGCAGCAAACAGCTTGGTTATTTGGGGGCATTGTGGTTCAGAACCTCACTTTGTAAAATTACACAGCAAAAATATATTACACAGCAGAAATATATTATTATATTTTAGAATATTTCTGAAGACAAACCCAAGTAGTAAGTCCTGTGAGATGTAACCCAAGGCAAAAGCCAGAAGCAGGCACTGAAAATTTCATTTACGTGATTGAGATGTGTGCTAAAGTGAGTGATTTTCAGCTGCATCATCAGATTTTCTACCACAATCCAAGCAGGGTGTGGAAAGCTAATTTCACATAGTCTATAACATTATCCTAAATCAAGGTACAAGTCTACTTCCTTTTCCTCCTTCTTTTCAAATAATCACTTCACCCACCTGTGCTTTTGCTAATCAAAACACTTAACTGAGAAGAAAAAAAAAAAAAAAAATCTGTATGTGTTGACAAATACCTGACTAATCCTTAAAATACATGATGCAATTAAAATATTTAATGGCTCTTCAAAACTGCAGAAAAGGATCTACTATTAAAGAATATGGAATTTTGCTTTTTGCCACCATTGCACGTGGGAGGATGAATTAATTCTCTCCCAGCTCCCACGGAGTCAGGACACATGGAGGGGAAGGGAGACGAGCTTAGGTAAAGTGTGTTCCAGAAGACCTATGACAGAACTGGCCACATCACAACTGGCATCCAACAATTAACAGCAAAGTCATTATTTAGTTGTACAGATATGCCAAAAAAAAAGGAAAAAAATTGTTGTTTTTCAAGAGTCTCTACCCACCTACACACAAAGGTAGTATTTCCTTTTATTTGCTAAAGCAGACCCACCTACGGTGCAATTTACGGCAATAAGATACAATCTCTCATAAAGTATTGAGTATAATTAAAGTGTGTCTGTTATAAAGGTAAACAGAGTGTACTAGGCTAAGCTGTTCCAGATGTCTTTAGTGCAAGATCTGGGACAAGATCAAACCTGCAGCTGCACATTTTCTCAGGGGTTATTTTGAAACTTTAAAAAAAAAAAAACAAAAAAAAACACCTCTTGGTCTTGGACTCTAGCAAAACTAGTGCAAGCAGAATAAATGCCATTTGCAGCTAATGTTGACAGATTTTAAGACACATAAAAGTTACACATTTCTATTTTCAAAGATACTCACTCCAGAGTGAAGTGTTAACCATTCAGTATCAAAGAGGGTTAGGACCTAGTCTGCCAAGTTATCTGTGTCACCAGGAGTTACAGCAACATGAACCTGTTCTACTGCCTAAGCAAGTTTCTTGCTGAAACACACCTACGAATGATTCAGACAAGGTGTGGAAAGCTAGTTTTATATGTTACACAAAAATGCACTATTGTATTTTTCCATTCAAGCACATTTCATATATAGAAAAGACAGTGAAAGCAAGCAAACTTTCAGGAACTGTATACGTATACTTCACTTGCATTAAAATTTTTTAGGTAACTTAGGGCCTGTTGAACCGCAAGGATCACACAGATTTACTGTCTTAGTGTAACATTAAGTGAGCCAAAGAGCAAAATACAGAAATTGCAGAAAAAACCCCCAATCACTTTATAATCCACTAAACTAATTAAGCTCATCTGGAAAAGAGTGATACAGAACAAGCACAGCTGATGTTTTATGAAAGTGTAGTTTTGAAGATTTCAACTAACTTGAAGAATAAAAAAATGAGAAAAGGTCAAGTTTTTTTAATACACTTTATAGCAGTGAACCTGTAGATTAAAACACACTGCCTGAATTTTGAAAGTTGGATTAGTACTGCTAAATTAAGTAGTGCTTTTATCGGCCTATTCTTTTAAGGCTTGAGTAAGAGAAATTTGGAGTAAAAGTAGACCCATCAAAATAACCAGAAGCCAGATCTTCCAAGGACTAGAGCATCAGCTCAAATACTCTGGTATTGTACATAACTGTTTCAGAATTATGGGGATCCCATTTCAAATGGTTCAGGTCCATTTTGAGTTAGCTTTAAAATAAGCACAAAAACTTGCTAGTGAGTTCAAAGCAAAAGGCAAAATTAGAGTCTATTTCTTTCATCAAATCAATTGAATCTTGTCCCCAGGCTTCATCATGAATAGCCCCTGCTCCCAAGAGCAGCACCTCACCTGTTGAAGAACCCGGTCCAGTGGTTCAGCTTTGCCCAATCCCTCTGGTGTTAAGCCACTCACTTCGCGACACTGGTCACTTAAGTCCAAATTGTCTGCTTTCACCAGGGATTTGTGTAGTGTCCCTACCTAAAAACATTTAAGAAATTACGGACAAAAGTGAGGAACAATCGAATTAGCTCTTTTTAACAACGCGTTCAGACTGCAGAAAAATCAGAAAGGTGCAGTATCGTGTTCCCGATAACAATCGCAATGAGAAAAAGCATTTGTCGATTTCACAAATCGAAACCTTTTGCCTCGGTTTCTTTCCCTCCCACCCCGAGAGCCACGCTCTCTGCTTCCGTGAATCGGAGCCAGTTTTCATGTGACGCCTTTTGCAGTTAGCACCGATTTTTGCGGGAGTTGTTAATTGCAAAGGGAAGATCACATAATCTTAAGGCAGTTTCCTGAATCTATTCATGAAATTGATCGTGATGTTTGTTTTATCAAAGGCCTTCATCTCTAGGGGATTCTTGTTTATGATAGGGCTTTTGGAAGAAAAAATTTAGAGCATATTTTCAAATTAGCCTAAAAATTAAAGGAAGTCAATATTCTCTTAAAGGTTATCCAAACATTGGTTAAAAAAAAAAAAAAATTCTCCCGCAGCAGGCCGCAAAGGGTCCAACGGTTACCCTGAGACAGCTCCCGTGAAAGCATGCACGTTTGGAGCCTACCGAGGGCAGCTTTTTGTTTTAAAGCTTCAAAGTCCGTAGGCATCTTCGAATTTGAAGCTACAGATGTTTTAAGGGGGACGGGGCAGGGGGGCAAAAGCGGCCAAACTTTCTTTAAAAGTTACTTCTTCCCTTAAAACGGAACAAAAAGGACCTTCTTCAGTGACTAACCCGAGGAGTGAATGACCCCCGGGCACGGGGGCCCCGCTCCCTCCCCTCGGTGCATTTGTGAAATGAACAAACGGCTCCGGGGAGGCGGCGAGCGGCCGGGCGAGCCTGCTCGCCCTGCGCCCGGGGAACGCGCCCTCGGACCGGGTGTCGAAGCCATACCTTCTTGCTGTGTAGATCCACAACTTGCCACACCAAGAGAATTAGTTCCCTCTCATCCGAACCCAGTTTAGCCCCATATGCACCAGCTGTTGCCCCAAACAACACCACCAAAGAGTCACTGTGCGAAGCCGTCATGACCACAGGGGGAAACAACTAAAATAGCTCAAAAAAAAAAAAAAGAGAGAAAAAAAAAGAAAAAAAAGAAAGACACACAAACAAACGAAAAAAAGAACAAAAAAATCCCACAAGGCTCGCCCCCTACCTCCAAGTGATCAAAGGGGAAAGGAGCGAACGAGGAGTCACAATATCGAGAGAAGAGAAAGAGCTATTTAGGAGGTAAGGGTGTTTGAGACAAAAAAAATGGAGAAAGCTTGCATCTCTACCTGTTCCCGGTGATCTCCTTCTTCCCGGGGCTGATTGGGAGGTGAAATTAGCAAGCTGT